TGTGTGGAGGTGTGCATACATACACATACACACAGAATATCCAAGTACATATGGCACAAGACATAGAATGTTAAGGAAAGGAAAAGAATTTTGTTTATTCACCATTCAGGGAGGGTGGTGGCAAAATTAGGTTCCTTATAGTTCATACTTAATCCTACTTAGTTTGACAGCTGGTCAAACACAGAAAAAAAAAATCATTCTCCAAAATTCCCGGCATGAGTCCATTTGAATTACGATATTAAATAATGTACCAAGTTAATAATGTTTTTAAGTCTATAGCAAGTCATTATTTTACAACCCTCTGTGAACCCCTTTCACCATTTTCTAGCATTTCTAAGTAGAAATAAGTAAAGAGGGCCTTTAACCTGAGTCTTGCAGACCATTTTTCAAACAATACGTGAGTCATCCTTGGATCCTCTGCATGTGGACTTAGTTCATGCTACAAAACCCAATTTGAACTACTCTGTTTTAGCACCAAAAGACTGGCCTGCAGGTGGATGAGCACTGCAGCCCTTGTCTTGTGCCAGAAATGGCCATGCTGCTGCATCCCTGAATGCTCTGTCCCAAAAGCTCAAAATATGGCTATATTATTATAGAAGCACTAAACAAATTTTCATAGAAATGGAAATAAGAAATAACTACTGAGATCTGCAATAAGGATTAGAGCTATAACCTCTGTTATCCCCAAATGCTCTGGAGTATAAGTGATAACCATCAGGTTTACATCTCAGTCCAGATATTTCTGCTGTCACTGTGTGAACACTTAGAAAGCAGCCAAGACTATGGCCAGATTTGAGCAGGTGCTTTTCCTGTGCTCCACCTGCCTGGCCTGGTGCGATTCAATACAATGCTGGCATGCCATAAAAGACGGCTTCTGTAAAACTGAGATTGAATAATGATCTATTGTTGTGTCATTCTTTGTTAAGAAAAAAAAAAAATCCCAGACTAATACCGTGCAGGAACCATTTTGCTCACTCTAAAAATGTAGCAACTTCTGGTCCCTTGTAGAAGCTCGAGTGCTGAAGCATGCAGATGTCCCAGCACAGGCAATGTTGGCAGGACATGCCTACATTGGATGGAAAAAAAGGAGGACAGGGGGCAGGGACAAGGACAATGTAACTTGTTGTATTGAGACTTGAGAAAGGTGTAGTGTATAATCTGCATCGAGAAAAAAACATCCAAGGATTTTTAATAAATGTTAGAGGTCAGGAACTCAGCTGCGTGTCTCGTCCATCCAGTGGCACCTCTGGAACTGCAATTTTCCATACTGACTCAGAGGAAAAGCAGCATCACTTACTCAATTGTCCACTCACACTGTCAAGCTCTCAGTTTATTTTGGAAGTTCTTCTAGCTCAACCCGACTTTGTTTAATTTGAGGTTGGAGGAGAAGAGACTCATAGGGTGGGGACACAAAAAGAGAGGGAAATCACAAGTTAAACACTGAATCATCAGGGCCAGCCATGAAAGTCCTGGTCCCCATGGTAAAAGAACCACCACTGGTGCACTTGTTTGGGCCAAATGTGGGGAGTGTGTTGATTCTTGTCCATGATCCCCACTGAGGCAACTTTCTAAAGGATGGGAAAGACTCAGTGGGAAATATCAAGATGAAAACATCAGTACTGACCCACACACACCATTAGAAAGTGTGGCAGGTCTCAACTTTATGAAAAGGAACTCCCAGTGCAAAGGCGATTTTATAATTGCACTAGAGGTCTTTGTGCCTTGGAAATTTATTGGGTGAAAAATCACCAACATTGATGTCCTAAAGATAAGATGACACATCTGCAAAAGCTAATGATACATACATTGTATGCCCCATCCTATGCTCTAGACCCCTGGAGACAAGAAATTGTCCACCCTTAAGCTTTCCCTAGTAGCAGAATAAGGCTGGAGCTGGTGGATACATAAACAGAGAAAAAAAAAGCCATCACCAGCACAGCAGTTCAAAGCTGCTCTGCTGCTGCTGGACCACAATCAAGATAAATGAGATTACTTATAGAAAGGGCACTCATTTTGTAGCGTGACTTCGGAGAGGGTGGAAGGTGTCTCAAAGTGGCAGATACTGCCCTGGTATGAAGAATTGAGGGTAGCAAAGGGTGACTTTCTCCCTGTCTTTGAGAACGGATTTGGAGTTTGCCGCTGTGTGTTTATCACCAAAGGGCAAAGCACCCTTATGTGCATCAATTCTTCTGCCACAGCTGATCCAACTCTGGGGACAGTGATGAGCAGTAGTGGCAGAGACACAGCCAATCACGCTGGAAATCCAGTGACTTTCCACACCCCAGGAGTAGTATCTATATGACTATTCACCTGTCTTAAGAAAATGCTCCAGACCTCTGAATCCACTGACCACATATCTCTTCTGGCTTTTTCTGAAAGTTCTTCGGTCACACAAAAAACGTTTATCAGCCCACTGAGTGTTTTTTAAAACCAAGTCCTTCTATTTGTTATTCTTGGTTGGTTTTCTTTTCTCTTTATCTACCCTGACCAATGTTACTTTCAGGTCTGTTTTCCTTGCCTACAAATTTTGATCCACAACTTTTAAAAGAATGTCTTTCATCATAAACTTCAAGGCAGAGTTTTCAAATAGTTTCCAAATTGTAGTCCTGAGATTTAGAGGACACATTTCCTGGCACTCTAATTGGTGTGCTAAAATACAGAAATTATGAAATTATAAAGCAGTGTCTGCATTTTTCACAAACTCTAATTATTTTCATGAAAAAAAAATAGAATTAAAAAACAAAACAAAACAAAACAAACTGAACTAAATAAATTTTCTCAACATGTTTTTAAAAGCTTTATAAAAGTTCTCAAAATAATCATTTCTGAACCACAAATATTATGTTACTTTACAGGACAGGAGTCTCCTCTCACCAGCCTTTCCTGCTTGAGCTTTTTGTTGGTCATTAACTGCTTGTGATGAATAGTTTCTTCCATTATCCAAACTACAGATCTGTCCTCACTAGACAATAGCTAGCTATGCTGGAAGATGAGTGCAGTTTGTATTAGATATTCTCTATTTTTACAGTTTTACCTAATAGGAATTTGTAATATATAGTAATCTGATTGCCAAAAAAAGATAAAAGATGATGTAAGGAAAAATATTTGAATTTTTAGAACAACAAGAACACTGCATAGTCCTCTTTCAGCTTTTCCAATTCTTAAAGTTTTTACTTTGGCACTCACACCACTACTGAAATACATGGGAAGCTAAGTGTCTTAAAAATGATTCAGTAACCTGAATACCTCTCTGAATATTGTCCAGAATGTCTTACTTACAAACAACCAAAGGAACTAAAAATATTTCCATTGACTTCAAACTCTTTATATGTGACTATTTTGCTTATCTTAGTATAAAACAGACTTTAATATTGAACATGTTAAAGGAGTTTCCCGCTTTTTCATTCTCCATTCCTTCTCTTCAGTCTTGCACATTCCATGGCTGGTTTTTTGTGCTTCATTCCCTTGTGTTTCCCTTTTTCCCTTGGACAATGGCAAACACATAGATTCACCCTACTTCATTTTGGATACTTAACAGAGGCTTCCAAGCCTGGAGCCTCATCATACCCAAAGAAGAGCTGGCTGGCTCTGGAGGACAACTCAGCAGATCCAAATGTTGAGCTACATCTCTTTGTCTCTCCTTCTCCATGAACTAGAGAGGAGCTTATGGAAATGTGTTCCTCACTTGGCCTCTCAGTGCAGGACTTAGAGTTGGTCAGAATAAATCTAACTTTAGGCATGCAATCCTTCCCAGTATCCACCAGAGACACTGGATAGCCATTGACTCCATTAAACTGCTACCACCACATTTTTCCTGTAAAAAACACCCCTCCAACAGCATGTCAGGGTCAGAACAGAGGACACAGTCATGCACGTCCAAGCCCACTTCCCAACCTTGTCAAACAAACAGCACTGTCTTTCTGTACCTTTCCTCAATAATGAATCTACACTTTGTTTTCCACAGGAAGGGCAGGAAGACAAAGCAGCTTGCAGGGATGCCAGCTCTGTCCCTCCCCTCCTTGTTCACAGGTTAAAAAGCATGACATAAAAGCAAATCTCTCTGGTTTGTCCTTATGGTCTGTTTGCTGAAGAAGGCAGTGTTCTCTTGTGGTTTCAGGATATGCCCCATTGTGATCGGTTCTGCACAAGGAGAGCTGTTCTGCTGCTCTCCCCTAATCTGGGCTCAGACCCAATTTCCCTCTTAACCCTCACCTCCCCTCCCCAGAAAGTCTGAGCTTGTCAGTGGGAAATGAATGGATTTGCTTTCCTCTAGTTCTTTCTTGCAAGGGAAAAGAACAGATACTGTTGCCCTCCCCATCCTCAGGGATATGAAAGAAAAAAAAAAAAAAAAAAAAACAACACGAAATTCTGAGTATTTGACAATGACAAACACTGAGACTGGGGCTTTTAGTAACTATTTTATCCATTAATTCACACACAGAAACTGTTGTCAGATTTGCAAAATTGATATGATGGAGACTTACACTTAACTGTTTTTGCCTACAGTATATTTTATGGTCTTGAATACAATGTATTTGATTGTATTCCAGAGGTCTTACTCAAGGAGAAACAAGGCTTTCACCCTAATACGCAATTTTTGAGATTCATGAAGTACTCTCCTAAGCTTACTAAAATCAGAGACTGCACTGATCATTCTATCTGTCCCCATAGGTCCTTCTCTTCTGACATGTCCTTTAGAGCTCTGAATTATATCTTTGTAGCTTGGAGAGTTACTGACTGAGGAGCAAGAAGAGTTTGGGCTGATCACCCACACTCTCCCTTTACAAATGGACAGTCTCAAGGCTTTTGGATAGAGGAAGGAGCCAGCCATCAACGTTTTGTGACAAGCAAATGGGGAATACCAGACGCGAGTGCTACTGAAACCAGACCTCCCGTGTTTAATGGCAGTTGGACGCCTTGAGGAAACCACTTGGGCGGATACCCTGTCCCATGCGGTTGAGCTGTTCCCTCTGCCAGTGGTTTCAGAGGAAAAGACCACATATCACACACACAGCCAGAGACTTCTGGAGTTAATAAAATGATTCGATATTCTTCCCCAAAATGTTTTAGATTAACCCATCAAATTTTCCTAAATGGTGGCACAATGGAATACCTGCAGGCACCAGGCTCAAGGGAGGTAAGCAGCCAATCCCCAGAGTAACATGGGGGTGGATGACACTAAGCTGCTCGGGAATCACCTTCTTAGTGTCAGATTTTATTCTGTTTTCAAAAACTACCCCATTTCTGAATTAACTGTAAATCCACAACATGTAAAACCATGTTACTTTATTTGCTAATTTATTGGCTTTGTTCCTCTCTTACCCTTCTGCCTAAATGATTTCTGAAGAGATATTGTATTTGCAGCTTTATGTCCCAAATACCCTTGTGAGTTGAAATGGGCATAAGATTTCAAATTTGCTCAAGTTTCAAACGACAGTCAGGAATATTCTACAAGAAAGGAGCCATAGAAAAGATGTGAAATACTTGTTCTTAACAGATTCAGGTGAAATAAATGTCTAGAAGGCAATTCCCATTTATAGTACTCTGTGTACTGCAGTGGCTATAGCACTGCTTCTGACAGTGAGATGATTTCAAGTTTAAAAGTGTGTCTACCCTTTTTCTTCTGTTATAGTACAATGACAATAGTAAAATGACAATATTTTGAAGAGGAGGAGTTTTGGCCAGGCAGTTTTTATGCAGCATAATGTGAGCACCTAACTGGGAGAAGGCTGAAACCTGCACCACTGTTAAATGTAGCTGCCTCGCATCTTTCTCCAGCTTACACTTGAGAATTCAGGGGTTTTACCATTTTTGCACAGCAAAAAGAGAAACACAGAAAGTGCAGCTGGGATTCTGTGTCAGTCAGGATCTGAGCACTCTGCCTAACTCAACAAGTAATGCTCACACCTTTGGTGATAGTCTTTCTCTTGCTATACATCTCTCCTGCTGTTCCCATAGGTTTTCATTGCAGTCATCATCAGGTTGCACAAACCATTAATTAGGTATTGAAAAAGAATCACATTCACAGAAGTGAAAACACTGGTGCACGCACATTAATCGGCATGTTACCTGAGACCTTTGGAACCATGAAAGGGACTCAATCATTCAACTGCCAGGGATTTCAATGTTAAATTGGTGTCAGAAGGCACCTTTCAGAAACTTGGATGTACAAAATTGAACATAAGCAAGACTGATTACAACCATAATGTCCCAAGGCTCTGAAATGGGGGTGGGGAGGAAGAACTAACCCTATAACATAGATCCATCCTGATATCATTCAAGACTGGATGCCCTGCTATGATAAGCAATTAACTGCCTGAGGTCACTAGCACCAGCACCATCAGTACCACACCCCCCCACACACACATCTTTGGTATATTACAGGTGTTAAATTTCTACTGGAAACGAAGAATGAAGGAGGAATTAAAAGTTTCTACTTACCGAGTTGAGCCCCAGGAGGTTGTCTGGAAGAGAGGAGGTGACTCCTGACAGAATAGCTGTGGCCACCACTGCCCCCAGGCACTGGGCAATGATGTACATGAGCGCTTTGAAGATGCTGATCTGGCAGCTCAGCAGGAGGCCCAGGGTCACAGCTGGGTTCAGGTGGGCACCGCTGATGTGGCCCACGCTTTGTGCCATGGTAGCGATGGATAACCCAAAAGCCAGCGAAACCTTTACGTTGTCCTGAGACCTTGTTGATGTTTTGTTGCCCACCACTGGGAAGTTAAAACCCAGAGCTGAGCCAATGCTGATAAATATAAAAAGGGTCATGGCAAGGAACTCAGCCACCACTGCCCTCCAGAACATTTTCTTTTTGAATTCACTAGCCATCTTTCCCCTTTCTCTCTCTCCCTCTCTCTCTCTCTCCCCTCCTCACTTTCCCTTCTCCCTCACTCCCTTCCTTTGCCTGATATTTTTCCTTTGAGGTCTGAAGAGAAATCTGGAGAAAAAATACAGTCCTTGGATTATTTATAGGGCTTTGGGTGGTCTGTAGGAGGGAAGGGGTGTTGCACAAAAGGAGGAAAGAACATCTACATAGATGCTGACTGTTAGATTGATGTAAGACACTGTATGCCTGCCAAAGTTTTTTTCTTCCTTTTTTTTTTTTTTTTTTTTTTTTTTTTTTTTTTTTTTTTTTTCCCCCTCCCTTAACAGCATTCGATTTCTGCTGCCGTTTTTAAGAGGCTTTTTCAAATTCTTGGAAAAGTCTCTAGGAGTGTCTCAGGAATTTTACCCTTACTTCTTTAACTCCTGTATCATCATTCCGAACACGGATTGGAATAAAAGCTTTTATGGGATTTCTGTCTCGAGCTGGACTGAAACAAAAAGCAAAGTTAACTGTGCAGGCTGGTAAGTTGTTCATGTTCAGCTTCACTGGCAGCAGGCAACATCCGAAAGTAATAAATAAAACTGACAACTAAATCCACACTCTAGAGACTTAACCACCTCTGCTTCACTTGAAAACAGGTAGAAATATCTCTTCTGCTGGCTCTGTGGAGACTTGGACTTGTTTCTGATGCCAAGCCTGACGGCTGTATGGACAAACATGTATTTACACAGGCTCACGCAAGCTGGTGTTAACTGATGAATGGTAGTGATCAGTTTTGATCTCTGTGACCACTGTGTCATAACACTGCAAGTAAGCTGGAAGCTTTCTGTGGACGCAGTTTGGATGCTGAAGGGCACATGATCTGGGTGATTGGGGGAGGTTTAGCATTTTTTTTTTAATTTATGTCATTTCTTCACTTTTTTATTTTTTTTTTTCTTTCAAGCACAGAGGTGTCTCAGGGTTTCTGCAGGCTTGCTCTCCCGCACTCCTTCCAACTGGCAGGAAAAAAGCCGATTTGGGGGCTTCCTAGCCACGTCCTGCAGTGAAAGCTTATCTCACACCGCACTGCTGTCCTGGTTGTCACCAGGGAGACTGGCTGCTGCCACTGAGCCACAGCACTGGCCAGAAACAGAGAGGAGGAGAGCAAGGGAGAAAGGAAATTACATGCTTGGTTTTGCAGACAAAACGAATCTCCTGGCAGTGCCAGTGTCTTTTGGAGCAGAAGGTCTAACTGCCTTTGGATTTATCACAGCAGGACTTGTATACATGCCTCAGATTAACCCTTGTGTTATCAGATCTCTGCCTGCTTTAACAGCTGGTGGTACCTTCATCTGTAAATCAGGGGCTTTTCTCTCACTCCAAACTACGCAATATCTGATCCAGACTCAGAAACTAACTCCTCAGGCAAAACTCTTGAAAGATGGATATTTAAAATCTGCCTACTTCTTTACCTCCTCTTTTTTCTCCCTCTTCTTACTTTAATGCACTGGTGTCAACTTCTAAATCGTACTTAAATTAATTCAAAGACTTTTCACTTGGACAATATGTCAGTGTGAAGATAAAATCAAATATACAACTGGATTGTATTAGAGAGCCAGTAATTTTTTTTTTTTTAATATATTCAGCTTTCAAAAGATGGTTCAGATACAAAGTTGAAGACCGTTAATAAAAATCCAGATGTCTGTAGCCTGTCATTCCCAAGTGCTTATTCTTTTTAGATATCAGATGTTCTTGATTTTTCGTGGAACCAATTTTATTTCCTTGTGTTTTATAATACACTTATACAACAGAACTGTACCAGTGGAAAAAAAAAAAAAAAAAAGAAAAAGCAAAGAAATATGAACAAACTTACTGATTTTACCCTTCTAATTACAGTGGGACTTCAGTAATGAACCATGTGACAGACAAAACAAAAATCAGGTTTGGCCAAACATGGTATGTGGTGGAATTTTGATACTAAATACAATTGATGCTAGTTGTATTCTGTTCAGTGAAACTTTTTATTTCCTGCAAACGGTCTCTGAAACTGGAAGATCTTAAGTGACCAGTTTCTCTGGTCCTACCAAGCAGATGCCCAAGGCACAGGGCATATATCACAAACCTCAGAGAACTAGGGAAAGCAGAGCTCTACGAATAGATTGCAAGAGTTTCCACGTGTCCCAGATTGGCACCTGTGGGATGGAACTGCCTAGATATTCAGCTGTGTTCAAAGGAAATTCCCTCTTTACTCGCTTCTTCCTACAATTAGGATCTGGGTGACCAAACAACCTCTCTACCAGTACTGATAAAGTGAGAAGGAATCCTTCAAAGGAATATTACTAGAAGCCAGGAAAATAGGCTGGGAAAGTATAACAAAATGCTTCCCTGAGTCCTACAATCTCCTCTAGGTATGCCTGACTGGCCTGTGCCAGAGACAGGGTACCAGGCAAGCAAGACCTTTAGTCTGACCACTGGCATGTATGAACACACCAATTAAATGTGCCTTGAGAGCAGCAGGTTGGTCACTCCTCCTTAAGACTTAGTTAATGCACTTATATTTTTATCCTGGGACTCTCCATTGGTCTCTTCATACCTACTGCTCACCTATCATTTCATATTTTGGAACTCAATGACACAATAACTCAATAAATTTGACATTCAGGGAGAAAAGAAAAAAATCATCTGAAATAAATTAAAGACAGAAACTGTTACACACAAACAGAGAAAATACACATATAAAAGTGATGTATGGAGCTATTGGCCAATCTTGCCCATCTGTGCTCTAATGTGAACAAAATCATGATCATCACTGTGGTGTTGTTACTAATTGGTTGCATGGTGATGATACCCAGGGCCCCTATGCCTTCAGTGTTGCACAAAAAGAGACAGAGACAACCTTGTCCTGTGTGTAGAAGAACCATCAAGTGGAGAAACAGAAGGAGACAGTAACAAAAGAACAAATATTCTGCATGAGAAGTAGAGGGAATTGGCAGAGTGGACAAATTAAATCAACAATGTAAGCATAATGAGGAAAGCAAAGAGAGAAAGGGTGAGCAGAGCAGCAACATATCAATTGGACCTCTTCAGAATGCTGTGTTGGACCACAATGTAGATCTAATTGGTGTTCAACCCATTATGTCATTTTTCCACAGAATGATCTCCATCCCATCTTACTCAGGCTGATGGCCAAGACCCCAATACTTGGCCAAGTAATCAGAGTGCTGTATACCCAGTCCTTATATACAACCAGGAACCAAAAAAGGGCAAAATCCAGTGTCCTGCTTATCAGATGAGCTGGGATTTTCAGATGTGCAGACAGCTTTTCTAGG